AGATCAGCAGCGATTCAAAAAAAAAAAAAAAAAAAAAAAAAGAAAAAAAAAAGAAAAAACAGAAAAAACAAAGAAAGAAAAGAAAGTAAAAAGATGTGCAGTTGTAAAAACAAAGAAATAGTTTATTCAGTTGAGATTTTTTTTCTGTTCTGTTCCATTTGTGCTGATTCTCACCGATCTCGATGAGCCATGGCGATTATAAACGGCATATTGCTGTGATTTCTGCAGGCAGGAAGTTAGGCTCTAGCAATTAAGCTTAAGAAATTTAATTTTCTAAACAAACTACATGCTATACAGTTATATATGGGGATAGAATATGGTGCAATTCAAAATGTCCCTACGAACGTTCGAGCAAGTATTTTTAAATGTGTTTAATAGTATATTCGATAATTAAATGGATCAAAAATCTCCTTCGATGAAACAATCTGATAAATAGATATGGACGAAATTGGTGACTTGTTGGAAGGAACAGAAAATCTATTGATAAAAATAGGTGTTCAAAATCTTGATATTTAAAAATAATAAGAACGGAGTCAAAAATGGAATCGTCCAAGCACAAATTTATTGGAGCATCTAAATATATCTCGAAGATTCACTTTTGTTGTTCTTTCGAGCAGTCATCGAGCGAACGTTCGTGATCAACAAAAGAAAGATGATCGTCGAAAAAATATTGTATATTTCATGCTCGACTAATTTTCTTTCTTCATTCGATGACGAATGAAATGTAAAGTTGATGACAGTCGTCTGTTATCTTTCACGTACATTACATACTTTACAAAGAAGTGCAAGAACGATCGGGAAAAACAATTTCGTGCGTTGAACAAGAAATGTTTCGAAAATTAACAATTATGCCGGGCGTATTCTAATATTATATAATGTCCGAAAACATATATTTCTTAACGACGCACGTGTAAATCAAATAAAGGATAAATTAGGTAATAATACGAAGATTTTTATTAATTGCAGGAAAGAAAAAAAAAATGCGACACGAGAGACTTGCGTAATTTTTATTCCCTTTGGCTTCTCCTTCCTCTTCTATGAGCGATCAAATTTGAAGCGAAGATTGGTATGAAAAAACTAAT